TGTCAACACCACAGTCTACCTGAGTACTGTTGCTGACCATGTCCATCCCTTTATGACCAAAGTGTACTCATCTTCTGATGGCTACTTCCAGCAGGATAATGCCCCGTCTAAGACTGGTTACTTGAACATGATAATGAGTTCTCAGTACTCAAATGGCCTCCAGTCACCAGAACTCAATCCAATAGACCACCTTAGGGATGTGGTGGAATGGGAGACCATGGGCACCATGGATGTGCAGCTGACAAATCTGCAGCAACTGCATGATGCTATCATGTCAATATGACCCAAAATATGTGCAACAAAGGATAAAGGCAGTTCTTAATGCAAAAAAAGGGTCCAACTCTGTACTAGTAAAGTGTACCTAATAAAGTGGCCGGTGAGTGTATGGCATATTTACTATATGTGAAATCGAAAGATGAACTTGTATGTCATACGTAAGTTGCATATATTTTCATTGATCAGTTTTCTATTAAGCAAATCAATATCTTGCTAGTTTAATGTTTAAATGGATAAATCAAACATAAAGACAACTGCAGTGACATTAGGTCTTTATTGTCAGATCACCCAATTGTCAGTCTGTGAGGTCACTGATAGACGATATCAGGCCCGGATTGGCTAATCGGGAGAACCGGGAGAATTCCCGGTGGGCCGGTCCGTTTTTTGGCCACGAGGGCCGGTGTCCCTAGCTGCTTGCATTCTCAGCAGTTGCACTTTTTTCATTTATTTATTTATTTGACCATAGCCTCACTCTTTTTATTCATTATTTTGCCGCAGCTCCGCTCTTTTTATTTTTTTTCTCGCAGCCTCGTAAACAAAATGCAGCCTGCAAATTATGAATGATGTAACTATCATCATTCGACTCTAAACAGCGGCACCTTAGTGAATTCGAATAATTAATTTTGATTAATAATACACCTGCTCAATGAAAATCAGATGATTCACTACATTAATAAATCTGACATAACTTGATCAGAAATTTAAAAAGGAGAGAAAAAGATTAAGCCATCAATAAAAGTCTTGCAGGTCATAGTGCCATATTTGTTTTTTATTCCAGCCACATAATATCAACAGCGCCACTGTGGTCCAGTGGTCAGCACGTTAAAATATGACACGGCCGACCTGTGTTCGAACCTCATCTGAAAAATTATTTATTTTTTTTTTCATTTTTTATTGTTAAGACATATAATACTGTTAGAGTTGTTGGAATTTTGAAGTTCTAAAGCAGCTGTTTTCTTGAAAAATGACGTGAAAGTGTCCTTAGAAACTGAATTGGAAATGAACTTATTTTAATAGTCAGTCGTTAACTGAGATGGGCCGGTCCAATGCTTGAAACTCCAGGGCTGAAAAGGAGTCCCACTCCGGCCCTGGACGATATTATTGTAAAAGAGAAGGGGTTTTTAATTGACTTTGGTTTATTTGCTTATTTAAAGGATCATAAATTTACATAATGCATGTTTGAGAAAGAAATGTGTTGTTGTAACAAGACAATGCAATGTCTATTTGTATTATATTTTCTTGGCTTTTTACCTTGGGGTTAACCATCAATTTACCTTGAATAGACTAGCATAAAATACAATTTTCAATTAAACTCAAACCTAAAGTTTTTCTTATAGGAAATGATGACATATAAATATTGTTAAAACAATAAAAGATAATTTTAAAACAAAAATCCTTAATATATGAGAGTATCTGTTTACAATTGCCTATACCACACTAGCGAGCTGTCACTGGTGGTACCTTTTCAAAAGGTACATATTTGTACGTAAAAGGCCCATAATAATACCTGAAGGGTACACATTAGTACCTAAAAAGTACAAAAGTGTTCCTCTTAAAATTTTTAGGTACTACTATATACTTTTGAGGTACCAATATGGACCCTTTGAGTACAAATGTGTACCTTTTTAAAAGGTACCACCCCAGAGACAGCTTGCGTACCTTTATTTCTGAGAGCGCAGTAAAGCAGTATAAGTACTGTAAACTCTTTAGCTTACATTGAATCTCACTAAATTACCAATAGGAACATGGATGACTTTGACTGTATTTTTAATTGTTTTGAATCCGACCACACAGGAAGGTCAGAGAATGAAAAAACACTGATACATGAAAACTCCTATCAGATACAGAGCTGGCTTTGCTCTGTGGTGTCCTGAGTTTGCAGCCAAGGTGATGAGAGGTCAGGACAGAACAGAGGGAAACTGATACCAGACAGGAACTAATCTTCACGAGAACAAAAAAGACTAAACAATTTCTAGCCAGTTACATTAGGTAAACAGTATACAGTGACCTCTTAGTGGCTACAAGGAATATGTGTTCCAATTTTGAACTTACTTAGTTACTTACATGTCTTGTATGGTATATGAATCACACTCCACCAATGTATTAAACGTATTAAAATGTATTACACAAACCTTTAATAAAACTTTTAATAAAATCATTATAAAACTATACTAAACATTGAATGATAATAATAACATATACAGCTGAAGGCAAAATTATTAGCGATCCTGTGAAATTTTAATTCTTAAAAAAAAAATCCAAGTGCTGTTTAAGGGAGAGTTTTCCAAACATGTTTAAATCTAATCGTTTTATTAACTAATTTCTAATGGCTAATTACTTTTGTCTTTGCCATACTGACTGTACAGAATATTTTACTAGTCATTTTGCAACATACTAGTATTCCGTGCAATTTAAAGGCTCAACTATGCAAATTAGGGTAACTATGGGTTAGGTTAATAAGGTAAATCATTGGATAACAGTGATTTGTTCTGTAGCCAATCAAAAAATTGTAAGGTGTTAATAATATTGACCATAAAATTATTAAAAATTACTTTTATTTCAACCAAACTAAAAGAAACAATATTTTTTCAGGAAGGAAAATTATTATAGTAAATACTGTGAAAGTGTGAAAATTTCCTTGCTCCATTAAACAGCAAATATTTGAGAAAGTATTACAATTTTCACATGAGGGTTAACAATTTAGCCTTCTACTGTATATCACATATCTGGTTAGAATATAAGAAATACATAATATATGAATAGCATACAACATGGTTTTCCTCTTAAATCACTGATCCAATCTGCAAGTGAGCATGCTGTTCTGAGCATTCATCATGAGTATAACATGCTTTTCAATACTCCCGCTGAACATCTGCTACTGACACCCAAACCAACAACAAACCTGTGGAACAGCAGACAGAACTCAACGCTGGGGAGGGATGAGATTGTCCAAAATATGAAGCACAGATGTCACCTGACAAAGAACCAATCAACAGAGTTCATTCCTGACATTTCTCCTACCCCAACCTGCGACCGACCTGCTCCTAAATTATTCAGAGTAAGGAGCGGAGTGATTGTGTATGTATGAATGAGGGACACAGACAGAAAGAGAGAGAGAGCTGCTTTGCCTGACATGTGTTCTCAGTGATAAGCCGCTAGCCTGTGACCTGATCACAGCAGCCGTGTGCACCTGACACTCCTCTCCAAACTGTTACTCACTGTCCGCTGTTTAAGGTTAGAGGTGCTCGTGATACAACGCTAACTGAAATCAATAGCCAAAACAAATAATAACACAGCAATCTTAAAGCACAAGATATTCCTGTCTAACATGACAATGCATGTAATGTCATACACAGAAGGCGATCAGATTTTAACCACATTCATCTCCGCCTGGAGCAGGGGAAATATTACACCTCTCTCTAGGACCCAGGTATCCAACATGTTTACTGACATTAATAATATGGGAAAACTGTAGGAAATGCCAACGGCAGCCGCCAGTTCAGCTCGTTGAATATGAAAATCTCCCACTCAAGAGTTCAGCTCACCGCTGTGCTGTTCTCCCTGCCCTCAGCCGGATCTCAGTCGTCTGTCTGTCTACAAAAGCAAACATACCTCCAGACAACATCTAACCACAACCTGGCAAATAAGAGCCATTCCATCTCCTTCATTTGAAAAAGTTTCAGTCTGAATTAAATATCTCAACAGTTTTAATAAACTATGGCAGAGCAGGCTATATGAGCACATTCATTGCATAAAACTGAACATGCATGAAAAATAAGAATAACTATACGCTAATACATAAAGGTTCAAAGAGTTTCTAGATGTAATAGTACGCCAAAGAATCTTTTAAGTAAAAGCCATTTTTCAGTGTAAAGAACAATTGAATAACCTATAAGCTTTTCAACTTAGAGGAACCTTTCGTGGAGTCCCCGTGCATATCAGAGGTTCTTCGTGGAATCATCGGTGTCAATAAAGAACGTGTATTTTTAAGAGCGCGATGCGTTTGTAAGTGAATGGTAACGTAGCGAAGTCCAGAATATTGTCACGTTTTGTTTTAAGTTAACGAAGCAGTAATTAAGTAGCATTCGTGGAATAGTAAAGACACATGAGGCAAAAGGCTGATAAACAGTGAACCGGAGACGGCGAGCAGCTCGTTTGTCAACGGAACTCGGCTGCACAGACGGAGCGCGCGAGTTCATTGAGCGGTGCCGTCGGGCTGTTATTTTACTGCATATTTTCCGCTTATTTGTTTTCGTTCCACTCCAGTGGTGCTTCAACAACAGAAATGTCTTGTTGTTTTAAGGCAGATAACGTTGTGGGACGCGCGCAAACATTTGGATGAACGTAAAAGTTCCGCTGTTCATCTAACGTTAATTCATGAATCTAACTACGTCATGGTCACTTAAATTGGACCGTTTAAGTTTATTTGACGCATATTATGCGTAATTCAGGCTAACAATTGCTATCAGTCAACTTTGTAGTAACTTGCGAGTGTACGCTCTTTTATTTATTTTGGCTACAGCAAATGGTTAAACGTGTTCCTTTAAGAGTTACACTTGTTTCAAACACATGCAATAATAAAAACCATGTATGTATATTGACTTGATAAAACATCTAACAAACATTATTTACGCGAAAATCACTTAAAACCCGTTTCTTGTGCGCGGGAACTAGTGACCAGGTTAAGTTTCACCTGTCAGGCTGATGTATGTAAATCTCTCTACCTGGTTGGTTGTGTCCTGTGGCAGGTTCTTAATAAGGATCTTCCTCCTGTTGCTCAGCTCTCTGCGAGTTTTCTCCAGCCGCTTCTCGATCTCCTCGGGCTCGAGCTCCGGTAGGTCTCTGAGGATGGTGGTCCCCTCGGATGCTGCGTCCTCCTCATGTCGGCTCACGGGGCTGTCGGACTCCGGGTGAGGTGAATTGTCCCGCTTTATCCCGTGCACGCTCGGCGGCTGGATGGATGAAGCGGCCGCCATTTTGAAGCGCTCAGTGGAAAGTGAGTCGGAGAGAGCGGATAGGTGGGCGTCTGTGCTTTGAGTCAAACCCATCGACGGCACTCTTGGAAGTAAGTATGGATAAGCCCAGCACAGTACAGCTGGCGACCTCCACCGATGGAAAACTAAACCATTCTGACTGTCTGTCTCTTGTACCCCCCTCCTTATCAGGACAGTCCTCCTTAATGTATTATTGTGTAAAATAACGACCAGCCTGGCAAACGAAAATGTAGACTAATAAAACAATAGCAAATATAATGATAATAATAATAATAATAAATATTGTTGTTATAATAATAATAATAATAATAATTATTATTATTATTATTATTATTATTATTATTATTATCATCATTAGATAAATAGTTTTATTTAAATATTGTATTAATAGCTGTACTTATAGCTATTACATACAATACATATAGCTATGTAATTATTATGCAAATCGTCATTTAACCCTTACAAAAATGTTACCATTTTACTACAAATTAGACTTTTTTTTATTTGTAGTAAAACCATTGTAAAACACTATTTACTAATGGTTATTCTAACGATAGTTTATGGGTAGTACAACAGTGGTGATACAAATAATAACTGGTAGACATATGCAAAAATATATATATTTAAGTTTCTCATACCCTTAACTCATTTTTATGGAGAGGGTAGAGATCATGACCTATTCTGCAGCCAGCCAGCAGAGGGCCATCAACATGTTTAGGCTTCACTTTTCAGGACGTTTTAGGCATACTTGGAAATTTGATGCAAAGGTAACACCATGGCAGTGTCATTTATTAGTGATATCACTCAGGTAGTGTAGTGATAATTTTATAGTAATTAAAAAATTTCAGATCAATAAATGTCAGGTTATTTCTGCCATAATGAAGCTGACATCTAGTATATGCTTTTTTGCTTTGTGTTATTTTGCTGTATTATATCGGTTTTCTTACATTACGGTCTACTATATTAAAGCAGCACACTCTTCGAAGCTGCACTTTAAAGCTCCTAACTATGTTAAAGACACAGAATAAATTAACTGTGTATTTGTGTAAACTGACATATAGTTTGTACTGCATGTTAGCTAGCTTATTTTTGGTTAAGTTCATGGTCCATATAATAAGGAATGCATATAATAAGGAAACTATGCTTGCTTGCATGTAGAAACACTGGCCAATTTAGTGTTGGAGGTTTCATGGCTAAATTTGACCAGCCTGATGTCCAGTCTTCATTGATTGCACATTCCACCAGTAAAATCAGAATGTGAAGGTTTAAATAGCAGAGTAATAGCACAGTTTGCTTGAAATATTGCAATGCACACAACATTATGGCTGACATATCAGAGATTAAAAGAGGACAAATTGTTGGTACACATCTCGCTGGCACATCTGTGACCAAGACAGAAAGAGCCACGGTATCCAGGGTAATGTTTGCATAGGACCAAGAAGGACAAACCACTTTGCGTGTCACTGCCAAGAACTACCGAATAATTCTAGAGGACCATGTGCACCCAATGGTTCAAACACCATATCCTGAAGGTGGTGCCATGTATCAAGATGTTAATGCAACAATGAAAGTGAAGTTGAACACCTCCCATGACCTGCACAGACACCAGAACTAAATATTATTGAGCCATTTTAGCGTGTTTTCGAGGAGCAAGTTAGGAAAGTTTTCCCTCCTCCTGCAACTCGTAGAGACCTGGCCACTATTCTGCTAGAAGTATGGCTCAAAACCCCTCTGGCCACTGTCCAGGACTTGTATCTGTCATTCCCAAGATAAATTGATGCTCTATTGGCTGCAAAATACTAATGAATTATTTTGCTTTAAAGCTAGGCTTTAGTTTTTAGTTTCCTTGTCCAACCACTGTCGGTTAATGAAATTCTGTGTGACTTTTTTTTTGCGAATGTTCGTTGGAACAATGGATTCAGGAAACAGTATGCTATTTTTTCTCAAAGGAAGTAGTTCATATCCAAATTCCTTTTCAATTACAACTTTAACACTCTCATTTTAGCAAATCTACCCATCTAATTCTGCCAATTTGTTTCAGCAGTTATTTAATTCCACAAATTACTAAATTTTGACTTTAAAAAATTTGTTCATTTAATTCAGGGGTGGGCATCACCGTGTCGCAGTGGGTAGCACAATTGCCTCACAGCAAGAAGGTTGCTGGTTCAAGCCCCGACTGGATCAGTTGGAATTTCTGTGTGGAGTTTGCATGTTCTCACGTGGGTTTCCTCCAGGTGCTCTTGTTTCCCCCACAAGTACAAAGACATGTGGTATAGGTAAATTGAATAAGCTAAATTGTCCATAGTGTATATGTATGAAAGAGTGCGTATGGATGTTTCCCAGTGATGGGTTGCAGCTGGAAGGGCATCCGCTGCGTAAAACATATGCTGGATAAGTTGGCGATTTATTCTGCTGTGGCAACCCTAGATTAATAAAGGTACTAAGCCGAAAAGAAAATGAATGAAGGAATGACTCAGGGGTCACCAACCCTGTTTCTGGAGAACTACCTTTCTGCAGAATTTAGCTCCAGCCTTGATTAAACACACCTGAACCAATTAATAGCATCTGAAGCATAATTACAGACAGGTGTGTTTTTCAGGGTTGCAACTAAAATCTGCAGGAAGGTAGCTCTCCAGGAACATGGTTGGTGACCCTTGATTGTCTTCATTGAATCACTCACTTAACCAGTTAGCTGATTTGATAAAGTCGACATGGAACAGAAGTTAAGATTGTCAGTTTTTACCTATCGTGATGTACATCTAATTAAAATGGTTTCTGAAATGAGAAAAAAATAGCAGTGAATAGCTTGATCTTTCGGGACCCGATTGCATCGTTGGAAGTTGGACGTTGCTAACAAATGCATAAAGGAAGATTTTAATGCCTTTTTACAGAATTATTACCATCGGCATCCTCTGGTGTAGAAAGTTGTTAGATGCCATTTTAGATGATGAATAGAACGAGCAGTTAAACTCTACATTTTACAAATTCTATCATTGCATGTGAGAGTGTATGCGTGATGTCCAGTACTGGGTTCCAGCTGGAAGGGCATGCGCTGTGTAAAACATGCTGAGTAAGTTGGCGGTTCATTCCGTTATGGCGATCCATAATGAATAAAGGGACTAAAGGCTGTTTTTTCTGCGTTGAGAGATCACTGTGTCCCACTTTAATTACATGGTAAACACAAAACAAAACTTTCCACCTAGAGCTCCTTCACAGGACTAGGCACTTGTAAACACTCACTCCAACAGGTTAGTGTAGCTTTCGGTTCCACCTACACTCATCAACTTCACCAAGCCGACCAATCACAGAGCTTGCGCTATGCATTGTTTTTTGATAGGTGTGTGTCGGCATCAGCCACGGCAAGGGCTATGCGACCGTGTGAAGGCTGTGCCAGAGCATACGCGTGCACTTGATGCAGAAGTTTAAATCAGCTTTAAGCCAAAGGAAAAATAATAAATGAATGAATAAATAAATGAATGAATAAAAATTGTATTATATTGGTGTAAAAAACTGTCTCCAGCAAAAGCAGGGAAGAAACAAGACGTGTTCTGATAGCCCCGCCCTAAAGGCATTACATGTGACCAGAAATGAAGAGGGAGGTTATGGTTTTTGATTAAAGACTATGAGGGCAAAATGAGTTTTTACAAAATAATAAATGGCAGATCAATTGTTTTTAACCAGCACAGCTATATCAATGCGAAGAGTAAATTTAGATTTCATTCTGATTTTAGTTAATTAAATACAGATTCAGAAACAAAACACTGCTTCTCCTGTTTCAACTTAAATTTCTCATTCAACAGATCAAACATTGCAACTGCCAGTATATGTAGTGTCTAAAAACGTACATTTTTCAGTATTAACTAGGTTAATTGTGTACTTAGCTGCTGCATGAAAGCTTAAAGAAATCGTAAGGACAAGCTGACATTTATAGCTCAAAAATCATTTAGTCTGCATGCTTGGATAGATTGTGTATGGCAGAGACATCTGAAGGCATGCCTGCAGAAAATCATGCTAGCCTGACAGATCTTTTGACTCGTTATTCACTGGCTCATGTCTGAAATGAATGACTTCTGCCATCTCTCGTGGGTGTGCTAAATGCCATCTCCTGGCAGACTCCATCACAGGAGTCCTTATAATGTCCCTGAATGAACGCTTTCAGTTTCAGCAGCTTCACATCCCACATCACCAACATTTACAGACCGTTGCGTTTGACTCTTTAAGAATGAAGATAGCTCTGTTTCTTGGTGTTTTGTTCAACTCGAGAATCATTAAAACAAATTTTGTTTATTGAGAGTGAAACTATGTGCTATTTTGCAGCTTGCAGATTTTAAAAAGGATAAAAATACATTCAATACGTTCTCCCTTTCCATCATTATACAAAATCAGTGCCTTTTGCTTCTCTGAGAAATAATAAGACAGAGAATTTCTACAAAAAGTCAATTTTGAAACATAATACAATACATTCTTTCATCAACATTACTCTTAATTAAAGCAATTCAAATGTCATTTTAAATAATTAAAATAATTATACTGTATTTATGCTAATAAAATTAAGGTTTTTGGCCTGCCCCTTGCTAGTAACAGTTATTTATTTTACTTAATATAGTCAATATCTACAAGTAATATTCAATAAAATAATGAAACATTTGCTTTTGTCACCAAACCCTGTATTTATTAGCAATTAGAAATTTTGAAATCATGTTACTGATGTCAATGTTTTTTGGTATTGATATGTGAGAAACATGTTTAACTACTTGGGTCTGTTATTAGTTGAAGAATTGTAAAACGATATTTGATGTGGGTTTACATTGTAACTTAAGCCATTCTGTTTATAGCTCTCTCAGAAAATTATCTTAAATGTATTATTATATATATATATATTTATTACGATAAAAAAATTCATTTTTTGTCTTCAGATTTGCCATTATCCTTCATGGCATAGATTCAGCAAGGTATTGGAAAATTCCCCAGAGATTTTGGTCCATATTGACAACATAGCATCTGCAGATTTGTCGGCTGCACATCCATAATGCGAATCTCCTGTTCCACCACATCCCAAAGGTCTATTGGATTGAGTCTGGTGACCCTACCATTCAATCATCAGATCAGTCAACGTTTTTCCAATCTTCTATTGTCCAATT